TATTGGCTAAATGTATTAAAATTTTGCAAGTTTTGGAACAAGGCAGCTCAGTAGGTTTTGGAACAGATTTATTAAATCAAAACCTGGACTGGAATTAAACAAACTACATTATAAATCTTAAAATATAACTATATGTACTAATCAATTTCAGCATAAGAATATTTCAACAGACGGACAAGAGACTCACCTGAATGGGTTCGCATGTGTCTGGTGAGATGAGTTTTTTGGGAACTGGAGTAGTCACAGTATATGCACTGGAACGGACGCTCACCTAAAAGAAGAATAAAAAAAAGAGTTTTCATTTTCACATATATTTCTGATTATATAAAAGTAAACTTAAATCAACGTGATTTTATAATGAATTGAGACTTAATCGAAAATTTTAGATGTACCAGTGTGGGTCCGGATGTGCTGTATGTAGTTATTTTTGCGGTCAGAAAAATACGAGCACTGGTTGCAAGTGAAAAGCTTGCTGGGAAAATGATTCCTCAGATGTTTCTTCCAGTGATACTGACTGATGGTGGTATAAGCACAAATGGTGCACTTGAATACTCTCTGGTCTTCACCCTCCTTAGTATGATGTTTAAGGTGTGCCATGTAGTGGTCGTAGCGGTTGGTGTTGTATCCACAGCGCTCACAGCGGATCACGCCTTTGGAGTTACTCAAACTTTCACTATTCTCTGGGTTTGGCGTCTGAGATTGGCCTGACTCACTGGCCAGATCATCGTCAGAGTCAGCCATGCCATTTACCACCGTCATTTTCTTAGCGCCGTGAACGCGGATATGGTGAATGAAGTCCTCCTCATTTTCAGCCTGGTACTGGCAGGGTTTACAAAAGAAAGGCTTCTTCTTCTTTTTGTTGGATTCGAAGACAACAACCGGTGTGCGCTTACGTTTTTCCGCTGGAGAGGATTCAGATGGGGTCTTTTCAGATGGGTCTGCTCGCTCCATTTCAACCTGCTCTATCACTCTTTCTGTCATTTCTGGCTCAACCCGAGTGGCATGTTCAGCGTACGTGCTCTCAGACATCTCCGAATTGTCAAGGCTGTATTTGATAACACCCTCTTCCTCACTGTCAGAGTAGCTGTTGCATCCAACGGTCTTGAGTTCTACCATTTGTTTCTCTTCTGCATTGTAGTCTGAGGAAGATGCCTCTGATGATACCACCACATTAGCGAGCATCACTAGCTGAGGGGCTGCCACATTATTGCGAGGCAGCTCGGGAAGGTCATGGCCCACCTCTGGTAGTGGGATGCCTACAGGCATGAAGATACCAGCAGCAGCTGGATACACAGTCTGAGCAGACATGCTCAACCAGCTGAAATGCAAAAAGAAACTCTGATTTTAGTGCCACTGAAAATATAACTGGCAATTTAAGTTTAAGAGTTTATAAAAATGTGCCTGTGAAATGAATGCCTCTTCCTCACTGTCAGAGTAGCTGTTGCATCCAACGGTCTTGAGTTCTACCATTTGTTTCTCTTCTGCATTGTAGTCTGAGGAAGATGCCTCTGATGATACCACCACATTAGCGAGCATCACTAGCTGAGGGGCTGCCACATTATTGCGAGGCAGCTCGGGAAGGTCATGGCCCACCTCTGGTAGTGGGATGCCTACAGGCATGAAGATACCAGCAGCAGCTGGATACACAGTCTGAGCAGACATGCTCAACCAGCTGAAATGCAAAAAGAAACTTTTAGTGCCACTGAAAATATAACTGGCAATTTAAGTTTAAGAGTTTATAAAAATGTGCCTGTGAAATGAATGTAGAAGATTGAAAGGATGTGAGAACTGTGACATCTTCACAGAGCAAGTCATCTGACTATGAAAAAACAAACAGTTCCATGTAAATGAATGATTGAATCGAAACTCATCATTTTCTGAGATAAGGAGTCTTTGCTGAGCCAATCTCTGACTGATTAACCCTACAAGGATAAAGCAGATTTCAAATTTCAACTCCCAAACACATTTTAAATAAGAAACAAACAAAGCCTAAACCAACACATCTTTATAGAGCCAATAAAGTACCCTGTTCTTTCTTGTATGAAGTCCATTAAAGCAATAAGCAGCTTTAACTATGGGTTATTTTAGGGAATTACAGCAAACAAGCATCTATATTCCAACATTTCAGAGCTCCCAACCATGTATGGCAATATTGCTCCAAAGTAGTGATTCAATTCTTAAGGCGTGATTTGTTTAAGATGCAATCTAACCAAGACAAGCATGAAATATATTCAGAGCAACAATAACAAAACACAGTCGATGTTTACTGAGTTGCATTATTTCAGCCAGAACTTCGTGGAGCACTTTTTTCTGTTTACTGAGAAAACAAGCATCCTTTCCTACCTAAAAAAAACTTTACTTTGTATGTTTGTACTCATTAAAGAAAAACAACATGATTTATTCAAATCTATGCAATTAAACCTTTTGGCATTTCAGCTCAAAATACTTTACTATAAATACTATCCATATTCCCTAAAGTTTTATATTATTTCTGAATACTATATAATATTTAGAGACACTAAATACATTTTAGTTTAAAATACTATATATATAACTAAAAACGTATCATACAATAGTATAATATTTCTAAATGCTATATAGGATACTAATACAATAGATTTAAAATGTTTTTTTTTGTATTTTGCTTGTACTGAGAAAACAAAGTCACAAAGTTTAATTAAATCTGTTCTAGTGTAAGAAGTACAATCATGGCAAACAGAGCCATGCATGTGTGTGATGAGGGGTATAAGGCCTGCGAGTTTGCATGCTCTGAAATGTGTGTTCGGCCATTTTAAAACAGCACCACCAACTTCTACCAGTGGAGGAAAAAACACAGCCGATGTGTGAACTCAAGCAGCATGACATGAACGTTTATTTAGATGAACTCATTCAATCAGAAAAGCACTAACATTTTGTGCTAAAAAAAAAACTAAAACAGGCTTTGCGTGAAAATATGATTGCGTTAAATCAAAGTTGTAAAAATAAGGAGTGAAAAACTTTGACCACGTTGGACAGCTCCAAACACGACCCATCTGAATCAGACGAAGAGCGAGCAACACACTGCACGAAATATTAAAAGACATAACGTAATAATAAAAAAAAATCACTCCTTTTAATTTCACTACATGGAGTTTAACGTGGATTTCACAGGATCTGAGTGATTTCAGAATAAACAAAAGCTCAAAAGACACCAAAAAAGGGATGTAAAGTAATTGTCCAGCTTGAATAATCGTATAAAACCCCCAATTCTAGTGAATATGACAGCAAAAGTTGCGTTACGAACCTTCACCAAGATGAAAAAAAACGACTTTTCCGGAAACTGCATGCATGCAACAACACACTACGCACGACAACCCAACAAAGTTACACTTCTTATTCAACACAGTCGATCGAAGATCATGGTGAGGATTTTATGTTTAATTTCTCATCAATTTTATGCACTTTTTATTTGGTCAGCGTGTGTGTTAGCCGTGGTCCTGATCTGATGTCTCTCCGTGCTGAAATCAGCCCTGGACAGCGCCCTTTCAATGCAACCCTCCATTTTCACTCCTTACTAAAACTTAGTTGAGCTCGTACGCGTCCCAAAACAACACAAAACCACACCCATATCAGCTCCAAACCCCACGCAACCAAACCCATGAACTCACCAGCGGTGTCCGCTCGTTGTTTGGCGATGTTGTTGCAGAAACAAGTTTCGGAAGAAGTTATTTCCAAACTCTCAAATCGGTCGAGAAAGTACGCGAGACTCACGCATTCCAGCACATAGCTCTCGCGCAGCCAGCCCTCGCTGGGGAGGCGTGACGTCAGCACGCACGCTCATGCTCTCGCGCGCTCAAAGTTTACTATTGTGTGTTTTGTTTTAGAGTGTGGAGAGTGACGCAGTCTGATAATAACAAACAAACGAAAATATCCCGACGATATTTTGAACGTGCGCTGTTAGTTTAGTAGTAGGCAGTGTTGTATAAGTTGTGCTCATTGTTTTGGGTTTGTTAACTCCTAAAGCTACACGTGGCAAACAGGCAGCAGTACTGTTAAGCTGTGTTAAGGAATATTTTTTACAGGGAGATATTGGGCAGCTGAACTTACAGGATCAAAACAAGTGCTAGGCAAACAATTAGTTAAGATGGGGGGGATGCTATTTATTTTCCATTACATGGTGTCTGTTTTCCCCGCTTTTTTCTCTTTAACCATCCGATTTTTCCTAAGAAAGGGCATCTGGTGCTTTGGGCAAATTTGAAAAGCCATACTGACCTTCAAGAAAAGTGTTTTAATCAGGTCCTAAGGTTATGATAGAAAAAAATTTAGCTGAAAATTGATTGATTATTTAACACAATTTTAGTAAAAAAAAATCTTACTGTAAAAAAGGGAAAAACAATAATGTCAAATTTAAAGGGTCTAACCAATTATGAAAATCGTCTCATATTGTGATTACTGTGATCACAGTATGTGACCAGTGGGCATGGCTATTATTTAACTAAACTTGAAACTCAGAAATATAAAATAAAAAATAATAATTAAAAAAAACTTTTCAGGTGCCAAGGCAACATTGTTAGTTTAGTTTAATTTGATGTACTAAAAAAGCTCAAACGGAAATGCAAATAAAGTGAAAACAGAAAATATAAAAATAAAAACTAATACTAAAATAACACCGGTTACCAGTGGGAACTGATTCAGTTACATTATAAAATAGTAGATGTCAAGTATTGTTAAATAAACAAAACCAATATCTAAGTGAAAATAAACATATACATTTATTAATAATTCGTTTATCGGGACTTTTTAACAAACCAAGCAATTTTGGACTCTGTGTTTTCAGCTGGTTTCAAAAATAGCGTATTTTACTGCGCTATCCTGGAAACACGTGTGCTGGGAGCGAACTGGAATGAAATGGCACAAGCAACCATTTCTAAAAGAACGCTTTTATTGTAAAGCTGAACTCCTGATTTCCTCTCACTGTAGCTGGCTTCATATGATGATCTGCTCATCAGCCTATCTACAAGTACTACTCAACAGCGAATCCGCCTGCAGAGTGTTTAGAGATCCGAGACTCTCACACGCCGAGCTCAACTCTTCTCCAGCGCGTATGAACCGATCTGAAAGCTCTACGCGTTACTTACTGTAAAGACTGGCTTCGAGTCCATCCGGAAACTTATCGCCATCCCTTCCGATATCATTACCGCGGAGCGTTCTGGCACGGAGATTTATCATATATAAAAACATCTGGGATTTGGAGATGTGGTGGGTTTTTAAGAAGATTCCTTCGACTGACGTTTTAACTTCATCTGGATCTGAAAGAAAGTTTCACTTCTGATTTCGTGCCATTACTCCTATAAACTTTATTACGGACTTAATTGTTGACTTAGTTGTTCATACACGTTTAAACGTCAATCATGATCGAGATCGAGGTTCAAGTCTCGGTTTTTCGATAGTTTCACTTGGTAATAACGGTGTAGTTTTAACCCAAGGACATGTAGTTTATCGCGTGTTATTAGCTGAGAACTGAGCTAAACTGTGGAATTATTTACGATTTAGTGGAATTGGCTGAGACGTTTATATAAGCCCTATATATTTATATAAAAATTGTATGTATTTTTTTATAATTAAAACCGTATTTGAGCGGTTTTTAGCTTGTAAATTGATATATAAATATTAGAAGTTACCCAAAAGCCCTGGAAGTAGAAAGGACATAAGAAGGGATTAGGTTAGATTGTAAATAACAACCATTTAAAAAGAGAGAGAGAGCGAATATAGCCATCTCCAGGATTTCTACAATGCGGGATGCGCCTGGGAATTTCAATCTTCTACACAGGACTTGCTCTCTAGTGGTGCTGCTATGTTTGCTTCACATCTCTGTCACTGTCATATACTATATGAGAAATTCAGATTTAAGGCAAACCTTCGTACAAAATCAGCAAAGCCCTCAGATCCACAGGAAACTGGCCGAACAGAGAGTCACTACAGAGGAGTCACCACAGAGACTGCCATCTGTGTCTAATGTCACAGAGACTGAGAGAAAGCTGGAAACATGCCCTGACAATCCACCTCGATTGGGTGAGCTGCTGTTTTATTTGAGTTGATCTCTGGGAACTTGTTCAAAGAGAGAGAGAGAGAGTATCATTTTTATAGTAACATCACATGTAATATGTAGTTATATTGTGCTTTTTTGAAGTATATACACACAGTAACAAAACTAGTGTGTGTGTGTGTGTGTGTATGTATATAGTACTGTCAAACGATTAATCGCATCCAAAATAAAAGTTTTTGTTTACATAATGTGTGCGTATTGTGTATATTTATTATGTATATATAAATACACACACATGCATGTATATATTTAATAAAAATATGTTTATATATTGTGTGTATATATATATATTTATATATTGTGTGTGTGTGTGTATATATATATATATATATATATATA